TCTTAGTGGTTCTGCCAGCAAAGTGATTACAACAGCTTAATGCAAAATATGAATCCTGGTTGTTATCACAGGACTTTCTCGCCACACTATCTGCTCCGTGCAAAAAGACACTGGTATCAGAACTTGCAGAAAGAGTGCAGTGGGGGTGGCAAGCAATCCAGGAGGCACTAATAGAACATCCCTTTATCAAATGTCAAATCTCCAAAGCTTCTCCTAGCACCAAGAATAGTACTGAGTCAAAATGTGGTGAGAAAGCTTAGGATGGCGACTGTAAACACAGCTTAGGAAGACTGGTCTGTTTTACTTATATCTTCTATGTTCTATACATAAAAGACTGATCTGTCGTAAAAATCTGTACCTAAATGTATATAAAAGACCTCTTTATATCATAAAACAAAATCCTGAGTAACAAATGAGGTGGTTTTAATTTATATATTGGTGGTATATAGAAATAATGTATCTTATCAAGACATGACATTGCAGAATGACTTAGTTCTCTGCCACTTCTTTGATCATCTCTAATTTGGAAATTATGGCAAAGGGGTAACAAGTTTATCCTCTCATGGATCCTGTTATTTGAAATTGTAGTAAAAAAAAAATACTGAGGCATGTAAATGATAATTTCCACATCTTTGTAGAATTAATTTATTTTAAACTCTGGTTGGTTCTGCTTTTGGTAAATAATGCAGGAGTTTAGTGGCTGAATATATTTAGACTTGGTTTATTAATAAGACATTAGGAATTTCACAGGAGTAATCTTAGCTCCATATTTGCCTTTGAGCTGGCTAGTTTTTATCTGCTGCTTCAAATTTGTTCTCTCCTTCCCTGCATCTCTCTGAGCCCTGGGAGCCCAGCCTTGAAGGCTAGAATCGGGGAGCATCCTTGCTGTCTGACTGCCGCACTGAGAAAAGGAGGGGGCCAAGGTCAGGGTCACACTCCCTACAGACCAGTGCCCACTTTGATGCAGACACAGCTCCCTCCTGTGAGCAGGCGTCTCCTGTGGGCAGGTTTCTACCTCCATTGACCTAAAGGAAGTAGACTGTTTACCCCTTCTAGCTCTGGAATGCTTCCCAGGCCCCATGGCAATTTCCCTCAGCCCTCTGCAGAAGTAATACATTATCTTTAGCAAAACACCCAACCAAGATGAATGGATACATCACCTGAGTTGAGTCCAGACAGTGGAATGTTATCCAGCACTAAAAAGATATGGACTCTCAAGCCATGAAAAGACACAGAGAAACCTGAAATGCATAAGTGTAGGAAGCCAATGTAAAAATGCTTCATAACAAATGCTTCTAAGTAGACAACATTTTGGAAAGGATGAGGCTATGGAGACAGTACAGGAATCAGGGGTTGCTAGGGCTTTGGTGAGGGGAGAAATGGATGAACAGGAGGAGCACAGAGGATTTTGAGGGCAGTGAAACTATGTTGTAGAATGCTGTGATGGCAGATATGTGCCATTATCCATTTGGCACTTCCCAGGTGGCTCAGTGGTTAAGAATCTACCTGCCAATGCAGGAGACCAAAGATGCAGGTTTGATCCCTGGGTCAGGAAGACACCCTGGAGAAGGAAATGACAACCCACTCCAGTATTCTTGCCTGGAAAATTCCATGGACAGAGGAGTCTGGTGGACTGTGGTCTGTGGTCTGTGGTATTGCAAAGAGTCGGACATGATTGAGTGCACACATACACATCCAGTTTTCCAAACCAAGAGAAAGTCCAATACCAAGAGTGACTCTCAACATGAGCTGTGAACTTTGGAAGATTATGATGGGTCAGTGTAGGTCCGTCCGTTGTCACAGATGCATTGAATGCCATCTGGTGGGGATGTTGATAATGGGAAATGTTGCAGCTGTTGAGAAGAGGGTGCAGTATATGAGAGATCTCTGGACTCTCCCCTCAAAGTCATTAGGAACTTCAAACTGCCCTAAAAATAAAGTTCTTAATTTAAAAAAATCCCTCAAATTAACCCATATGACCATTTTATATTTTCTTTAGGAACGCAGACCTCATAGAGAAATGTGTTTTACTTTATACTATTTCAATCTTAGAATTATTTCAGTGTATCTCAGCAATGTCATCACTTTTCTAAGTATAGTAAAAGATCTTTATACTAGATGACCTGATGTTTCTTAGCATTCAGCTTTGCTTAGGCCAGTTCATGTCTTTATGCAATAAGATGTCACATTGAAACTATTGAATATAACATTTAAAATTCAATTTGAACAGTAATGAAGATGCCTGAAGGCATGACATTAAGACTATAATGTCAGTAAAATAGACACTTTTTTTTTCCCCCAGCAAATATCTTCCTCTATAGAAATGTGTACTTGTCTCACAGTGGGTTATTGCAAATTCCACTCAACTGAAAAATTCTTAAAAAGGCAGGGTGGTGGAGCAGGATGGACTACATGTCAGTAAGTAAGACTGTCTTCGCTAAAAGATGCAACCTGGCTTAAATTTGTACATTAAAGAAAAAGAAATTGGTGAGATGGCCAGGGAAATAAATGTTCTCTTTCCCATGTGTAGCACCTGGTGTTTTCATAATCTTACTAAGTCCCTAAACCTCTACACTAACCAGGTAACAATGGATTCATACAAGAAACATGAACAAAATGATGGCTTTCACAGTCTGTTTGGTGGAAGAAGTTTGCTGTGGACATTGGATTGCTGCTCTGCTTTTGCACCAACAAAAGTATCTTTTCTGTTCATATGAAATAATCATCCACTAGAATGACTGTCAAGTTTAAATAAACCTTTTAATTTCACAGAGATTTTGAAAAAAAAATGTTGAATACTTTCAAAATTATTTTACAGGCTATGCATGTCATACATGAATGTAAGAACTAGACACTACCTTTTTAATGTGTTACTTTAAAATAGTCAACCTAAATAGTCTAATTTTTATCTACCCATGTAATTAGGCTGGTTTATGAATGTTACTATCCAATAAATGATAAATTATTTACCTTTTACATAGAGATATTCTCCATACTGAGGCTAAAATTTCAGAAAAAAAGAGCACATCGTATGAAAAAATGTCCATAAAAATAAAATGCTGTGTTTTAGCTTTAATTTGAAAATATACTGTACTTTGAGGGTAAAAAAAAAAAATGCAGGTTCAAAATAAAACCTGTGGAAATTAATGCCAAAAAGTAAAAATGTATTCTTTAGCTCTGCTGATCCAAAGTCTGCCATGATTTAGGGCATCTACTTTCATTGTGATGATTTATTGTATACAGTTAAAAGAATGGATTTGTATTCTCATTTTACACTTAAGAATATATTAAAGAAAGTAATTTTCATTATCCTCAGTTTTTAAATTTTGATTTTTAATATATAATTATCCCTATAATTATTCATTTCTCTACCACTTAGAATATGTTCCTGAGAATGCTATTTTTGTCTTCTTTTTATCTAAATTCTAATAAAATATTTTAGAACAACTGAAGGAGAATTTAAATCATCCCAGTCCATGTCAATTAAAAGAGATGCCCATTCCTATAGCCGACATATTTAGAAGCTGACATTCCTATTATACAAAATAAATGCAACTCCATTATTCTGATCATAATGTTTTGGGAGAGGATGAAGATAAGCTCTTATTTTGACATTATGACAAATATTTAATGAGTAAGTTGTGGGAAGATGAAGTTGTATCCCTCTCAATTTTAGAGAAGAATGAACTGGAAGTGTTTCAGTTGAAATTGTGAGCCACTAGAATTATACAGGACAGAAGTATGCTGGCTGAGTCATAGGGACAGATGGGTATTTGTTTTTACTTTGCTTTAAAATTTTCTTTTCTTAATTACAAACTACAATTTTCTGCTACAAGTAAAATTGAACTTAGAGAATAGAAATCTAAATGGAACTGTAACTATGTAGACAAAGTTGATGAGCATTATCTGTATCATATGCCCATTGTTTTTTTAACTGAAGCTGCTACTTAAACCTGGGTTATGGTTGAGTCGGATTCTGCCAAAGAAAATGTCCCCCAGCATGACTCCAGCTGCTCTTGACAACCTGTCAAAAGCTTGGGAGATAGACATGATTAGCAACCTTCCTTAAATTCTGTTCCTGTATTTTCTGTAACTAGAGAAATAATTTTGTCCTCTTTTCAAATGATATGGAGGATGGTTTCTCTAATCCTCAAACACCTATTTTACTTTAAAATTTTTTTTTCCTACAGTATAATATGCCACCTCTAATATCGAGTTAGAAAGGCCATTCCAATCTGGCCATTCTGTGAACTGTTAGATCTGCTTCCCCAGAGCATCATCACCGTGTAGTGATTCCCACCTGCTCATGTCTTATTGTTGCTCAGCTGCTCAGTCATGTCCAGCTCTTTGTGACCCCATGGACTGCAGCAAGCCAGGCTACAGTGTCCTTCACCAGTCAGTGATGCCATGTCCGTGGCATTTATGCTCCTCAGAATGGAAATCTTGCTTTCCTTTTTACAAATATCACTCACAGGCATAAACACACCTGCACTTTTGCAAGAACACACACACACACACACACACACACACACACACACACTCACACACTCTCTCTCTCTCTCTCTCTCTCTCTCTCTCTGCTCTACGCTCCTTTTCCTGGGAGCCTTGCCCCCTCCTCCCCACCAGTGCTGTCCTCTTTCTCACTGGCAGTGATGGCAGTGAGGAGGTGTCTCACATGAAACATGTTCGTTAAGGATATAGGTTGAGTATAAGATGGAGTAGTTGTTAAGATCATTGTCTTCCTCGTGACTCATCTAGACTCGCAGCAGTTGTTTGGTGCATTTGTGTTTCCGTGTGGTTTCTACGGAAAACCCTGAGTGCGACCCTAGGCGGGGCGTCAGATTAGTTGGGGACACATGGGGGACAGGTGGAAGTCCCCCGTCTCTGGGGAGCCCCCAGTGTGACACACGCTTGGTCACAGCCTGGTCACCGCCCAGCAAAGCCTCGGGTCTGTGGACACCCGGCTGCAGGTTCTTCTCTTGTCAGGATCCGAGGAGGCCATGGCTGGGCAGGGGCTGCTTTCTCCTCCTCTGCTCCACACGGCCTCCCGAGACCGACTCCTCACCCCCCAGCCACCGTCAGTGGTGGCATCCAGTGGCTTCCGCCGCGGGACAGAGTGTGAAGGTTCCCACGGGAGAATCCGAGGCGTCGACCGGAAGCTGCACGTCCCGCTCCTACAAACGACCGGAAGCCGCACGTCCCGCTTCTACAAACGCCATGATGGCCAGACTCAGGCCTGCGGCTGGGATCCCAAAGCTAGGGGGTGGAAGGTGCGGCCTCAGGGTATTCGCAGGAGAAACCTGCTGACAAAGAGTTTCTTTGGCCGCTTTGGGGCGTTCCGATGGATGTAGAAGTATTTAACATTGATGAGACATGAACATGTTAGGCTCCATGACTGTTAACACAATCACGCTGGCACACGGGATGGGGGAGGGAGGCAGGCAGATGGATGTGAGGCGGCCCCCTGACGGAGTGACCATTCCAGCACAGCCTGGAGAGCGAGAGCCGTTTTCTGGAACCTGGAGAGCAGGCGTATTTCCCACAAAATGGTGTTTGGTCGCGTGGATTTCTCCAGAACCGGCTTTGCAATTGGAACAGATTTGCTCCATTCATTTTGAGTTTTTTGTTTATTTGTTATTTTGATGTTTTACCAAATCTGACTGGTTTTATTCTCATCCATTGTATGCATTGTTTATATTTTGAGTGTTGCCATTTTTTTTTATGAGCAGATAGCGTGAAAGGTGGCACCATATGTTTGCCTTCTGTCTGTAATGCATATATTATCTAATGTAATAAATGGTACATATACATTTATTCTTTTAAACTGTTTTCCCATTATTCAAGTGAAGTTTAGCCATTGAGGTAGACCTAACATGAGACCTGGGGGTCTGGTCATATCACCTCATGAAGGTGATTCACCTCGATGGACAGAAATGGGGTTCCATGTCATCACCCCAGTGATGAGAAGGTGCCTTGTGGTTTTCTAGGAAATACTTCCAGGCACACAGGAGTTGGGGAAGAAGACAATACTTCTCAGATGTCACACGCCAGGTGTCAGGAAGCATTTAACAAAAGGCTTCCTGTGTGCTGCTTTGGATCTGTCTGGAACCCTCTGGCCCTTATTGATTCCTGAATATTCAGGAATTAAGAGGAGAGGCACGCCTTTCTCGGGGCTGAGGAATCCAGGCATTTCTCATTACAGTGATAAGTACCCACTTCCTTTTTATGAGCCAAATGGTAAAAGATGATTGTTTGCAACTCTCTCTTTGATAGGGATCATCTTATGTTTTGTAAGTCTGGAGTTTTAACCTTTGTCTTTGCTGAGAATTACTGCAGTATATATGCCCACGCCATGTTGATTAAAAACACCTTTGCTCCATCAGAGCTTTGGTCCCCGTGTCTTTCTTAAGTTCCTTCTTTCTTTCTATTCCTTCTCTCTCTCTCTCTCTCTCTCTCTATTTCTGGATAATTCCTTGGAGCGCGGAGGCCCGCTGAGCTCACTTTCTTGCCCGGGCTTCTAAGACCCTCTCGAGAAGGCGCACTGTGCCTTCACCCACTTGAGAGGGCGCCCGGTGCCTACGTGCAGTAGCGTGAGCTCTAAGAACAGGGCTCTATTGGCTTTCTGCATAAACCAGGGGATATCAGCCTCTTTCTCTCTCTTACTCTCGGAACCACCAGGTTCCGGTCCATTAAAGGACCAATAAGCGCTCTCTCTTACTTTCTTATCATCGACTCCGGACCACCAGGTTCCGGTCCATTAAAGGACCAACAGCCAGGGTCTGTACTGAAAGCCCTATGTGAATTCTCTCATTTAATTCTCCCCACAGTCTTGTGAAGTTGGCACTGTTTCTCATTTCTATTATTAGGGAGGCCTTGGGATGCTCTCTAGGTGATGCAGGTGTAACAGGTGGCATCCAGCGAGCTCCACCCGAGTAGGCTGATGAGAAAGCCCAGGTTGTCTTGCAAGGATATCTTCCTTCCTGTGTCACTTCTTTTTTATGCATCGGGACCTAACATCATAGTGAAACAGGGATCAAATTCACTCTGCTTCTCCATCACACAGTAACTGACGCCCTTGGTAGAGATCTGCAGTGTTGAGTTAAACAAGGAGAAATGTCCTTCTGGGGAGTGTCAGGACCACCGTGGACCACAAGGACAGACTCATTCATGAGGTGGCCATGAACCAGAAACAGTACACGTGGCACACAGGTGCCGTGGAGTTGGGCAAGAGGGACTATCTTCATTTGGATGGCTCTAACGAGGATTCCATAGACTGGGCGACTTGTGAGCCATGGAAATTCACTGCTCATGGCTCTGGAAGCCAGACCCTCCAGATTAAGTTGCTGCCTATGCAGTGTTGGTGAGAACCCTCTTCCAGGTTGCAGGTGGCATCTCAGAAGCAGAGAGGGGTTGCAGGCTCTCTCCTGACCCTTCCCAGGACACCAGTCCCATTCATGATGGGCCATCCTCCTGATCTCCACGGACCCGAAACTCCTCCCAAGGACCCTTCCACCTCCCACCTGCATGCCGGGAGAGGGATTTCATCAAATGGAGTTTGTGAGGGACACAAACACTGAGCCTGTAACAGGCAATTACAAAGTGTGAAATCAAGGTAAAAAAGAATAGAAGAACAAGCCCCTGATGGTTTTTGTTAATGAACCCAGAGAGGACTTAAGAATTTGTATATGTATTTCATTAAGATGTCAACACTCATATAACCACTTTTAGTTATTCAGCAGCCTTTCAGCTTAGTTTTCTCAAGGGACATAGCTGTGGGTCCCCCCGCCCCCAAGCCAAGACAGACACAGCTAGGTCAAAACCTGCTCTTGGTCAGAGGTAGAAGTGACCTGTTATACATGTGAAATCACAGGACTGGAGATACAGCTTAGTCAGTTGAAAGAGGAGATTCGTATAGAATCCTCTGTGCAGATGGGATTTCCAAGGGTTCAATTGGTTTGCCTTATGAGCTGGAAGACACTGCAGGCAATTATGTTCCTGATTAAAACCGCCAAGGACGCTGCCCTTACATGAAACTTGATGGTCACCCTGTGGAGACGCGGGGGTGGCATGCCTCAGCAAAGCTGTGTCGACTTCTGGAGACCCTAGCAGAGCAGGCCGGAGTCCAGGTCCCTGATGGCTTGACTGCGTCTGGAAAGCAGAATTCTTCCTATACTACTGCCAGTCATGGGGAGCAGGCACACCGCATCTGTGCTGTTCCATTCAGGAAAGTGTTTGTGAAATCAAGTTCTCCAGTTGCTTGACCCAGAGTCGGCATCAGCAACGTCTTCTCACCCGACAGTAGAGAGCCTGGGCCATGCCCAGACGTGCCTAAACACTAGCTCTGCCTTCATTCCCGTTTTTTCCTAGATAGCCCTGTAACTCTGAATTATTAGTGATACTCTGGGTAGTTCTGATAGTACATTTGGTTCAAGAACTGCGGCCACAAATCTGTTTCCCACCGGAAAGGTCTGAGACTGAGGTTGCTGATGGGTCTCATACATGAGGCATAAAGGGAAAGAATGCATATTACTTCAAAGAGCCGTTTGATTATTTAAATAAGAATGGATTATCATTGAAGGCTGCCATCAATGTGCTGTGTCCTGGAATTGGGTTGGAGGCCAGCATTGTGAATTTTAACACACTAACCCCCTGATATACAGGAAGAGGGTGGAATCCACGGAGTAGACAGTTCTGCATATTCTAAATATTTATGAGGAAAAGCAATGATTTCACTGGTAGGAGTCGAGTATTTCTAGCAATGCCTTCAACATTGCACTATGAACTCTCACAGAAAAGCTAAAATGGGTCCCATTTTACAGATGAAGGGACTGAGGCACTGTGAGCTGGTGACTGGCCAGAGTTCATACAGCTAAAGATGTGCTCGATCCAGAAACTGAAACCAGGAAGCCTGGAGACATGCAAGAGTATTTTAATCTAGCTTCTATTCTGTACTTCTGTGTACACTGGAGGTAAAAATGGGTAGCTCGCGGCAAGAGATGGTGGCTGGAGAGCAGATGTTGGCATACAAGAGACATCCTCCTAGAGCAGAAGTTCTCCAAATTCCTGCCTCAGATCTGTTTAATACTCATTTCTGTTGTTGTTGTTGTTTAAAATTTTTTGGAGGAATTTCCCTCATAGCCCAGTGTTTAAGACTCTTTGCCTCCACTACGTGGGTTGCAAGTTCAATCCCTGGTTGAGGAACTTAGATCCCATGTGCCTTGTGATGCAGGCAGAAATTAAAACAGATAAAATTTTATTGAAGTATAGTTAATTTATGGAGTGAAAAAATGGCAACCCACTTCAGTATTCCTTCCTGGAGAATCCCATGGACAGAGGAGCCTGGCTGGCTATAGTCAATGGGATCTCAAATAGTCGGACATGACAGCATGCATGCCACATTGTAGTTAATTTAAAATGTTGTGGTTTAGATGAACAACAAAGTGATTCAGTTATGCATACATATATATCTATTTTTTCATATTTTCAGATTATTTTCCCTTATGTGCTGTGCTCAGTTGTGTCTGACTCTTTGTGACCCCATGGACTATGGCCAACCAGGCTCCTCTGTCCATGGGATTCTCCAGGCAAGAGCACTGGAGTAGACTGCCATTTTCTATTCCGGGGATCTTCCCTACCCAAGGAGTGAACCCAGGTCTCCCTCTCATTGCAAGCAGATTCTTTACCATCTGAGCCACCAAGGAAGCCCATTTTATACATATCCAACAGCTGTCTCCAGAGAATAAACCTGGATTCCTATATCTGTGCCTGCATTGTCTGTGATCTCAAAATGGTATTAGCAAACATTTCCTACTCTGGTGCTTCAAATTGTATTGGTCTGTTTTGTTCTTCGTTGCTGTTGTCTTTTTAATATTTATTCAAACATTTCCTACTCTGGTACTTCAAATTGTTTTGGTCTGTCTTGTCCTTTGTTGTTATTGTCTTTTTAATATTTATTTGGATGCACTGGGTCTTATTTGCACATTATGCACTTAGTTGCACAAAAATATGCTGGGATCATTTTTAGTTGTGGCATGAGAACTCCTAGTTGTGGCACATGGGATCTAGTTTGCTGATCCCAGAGGTTGAACCCAGGCCACCTGCATTGGGAGGCTTAGCCACTGGACCATCAGAGAAGTTCCCCTGATGTGATCTTTGAAGTGATCTTTGGTCCATGCTTTGGGGCTTCCCTTGTGGCTCAGCTGGTAAAGAATCCACTTGCAATGTGGGAGACCTGGGTTCAATCCCTGGGTTGGGAAGATCCCCTGGAGAAGTGAAAGGCCACCCACTCCAGTATTCTTGCCTGGAGAATTCCATGGACTGTATAGTCCATGGGCTTGTAAAGAGTCAGACA